TTGGAATAATTCGTATAATCGGCAACATAGCTGGCAACAATCGGTGCAGTTCACGTACAACAACAATGAAAATTTACCAAAAAATTTCTAAAACTAAGGTAAATATTTTTTTTTGTATTCTACGTGTTGTTATGTTATTATTGAGGCGAATTACACAAGCGTTTTTCTAAATTTAAAGGCACTATCTAGATAATTCAATATAAACATAACATAACCTCATATTCGAAAAATACCGCCTGATTCTTAGAACGTTGCCAAATGTACCTGTTGAGCTTGATTTTGTTTTTTAAATTTTGATGTCGCTGTGGGGCAAGTGAGTCATAGCCATGACTCACTTGCTCCACAGTTGGTTTATTACAGGATTATTTTAAATAAGTTATTGTTTTTTTTGCAGTGGTGGAAAATGGACCGTACCTACGTGCGCAAGACCCAAAAGGAATCATATTCCGAAGATGCTATGCAGCGTTGCTTAGAAGCTATTCAGAATAAGGAGATGTCAATCAAGAAAGCTAGTGTGGTTTTTAACGTTCCGAGAACCAGCATACACTCACGATTGAAGCGACAGGGGCAGAATCCGGTTCTAAACCTAGGCAGGTTCAAACCCGTGTTCAGTGAAAAAATGGAAATGGATTTGAGTGAACATATACTTAGAGAAGCTATTCTATGGACTCTCAACGGCAGATCTTCGACGGATTGCATTTCAGTTTGCTGAAGTTAACCAAATCAATCATCCGTTCAATAAAGATCGGAAGCTGGCAAGAAAAGACTGGCTGATATCATTTTTAAAGTGTCAAAAAACCTCTCTATTAGAATACCTGAAGCAACAAGCATTGCGAGAGTGACAGGATTTTCCAAGCACAGAGTCAATGAGTTTTTTAAAAATTTAAAAGAGCTCTTGGACAAGTACAATTTTCCTCCGTATCGCATATTTAACTGTGATGAGACAGGGATTACCTGCGTTCAAAAACCCGGAAAATTATTATCGGAAAAAGGAAGAAAGCAAGTGGGAAGATTAACTTCATTGGAAAGAGGAAAAAATACTACATTACTAGCATGTGCTAGTGCTACGGGCACATTCATTCTACCATTTATGGTCTTCCCTCGAGAATGAACCGAACCTTGTTAAATGGTGCATTTCCTGGAACAGTAGGATTCCCTGCTCAATCCGGATGGATGGATGCCGACCTATTTGTTAAATTTTTAAAAAACATTTTATAGACTACACAAACAACCAAAGAGTCTCCGAGCCTACTGATACTAGACCGTCATTCAAGTCACAAGTCCATTGAATCAATAACCCTGGCTAGAAATTCTGGAGTTTCTGTTTTGACGTTACCACCTCACACTTCGAATAGGCTACAGCCCCTTGATGTAAGCGTATTTGGGCCCTTCAAAACCTACCAAGCAAGAGAAATGGACCACTGGCTGACAAATCACCCTGGCTCTAGAATCAACGAATATGACATGGCTCCTATTATAAAAAACGCCCTTATTAAAGCATTTGCACCAATAAATATTATAAAGGGTTTTGAAAAAACAGGAATCTTCCCTTATGACCCGGATGTGTTCCAAGAGAGCGACTTTGAGGCGGCCGAGAACATTCTTCAAAAATAATCAAATCCAGAAAGCGTCAATCCCTTGGTCAATTCCGTAAACTTGGAAGATGTACCTAATCCAGAATCGCCTGAAGATGACATCCAGAATGATCCTAACATACTACCAGTTTTAGAGGCAATAGAATAACCGTCATGCAGTTCTGTTTCTATTTCAAATTCAAGCCTAATCTCGAAACCATCTCAAGGGAAAAGCAACTGCAAAGCACTTTTAGAACCAGATCAACCGTCATGCAGTTCTGTTTATATTTCAAATTCAAGCCTAATCTTGAAACCATCTCAAAGGCAAAGCAACTCCAAAACAATTTTAGAACCAAATCAACCGTCATGCAGTTATGTCTCTATCTCAGAATTAAGTCCAATACCAAAACCCTGTCAAGAGAAAAGATAAATCAAAGCAAAATCCAGAACCACAGAAGGATCCAAAATAATTACCAGCTCACCTTACAAATATCAACTCGAAGAGAAATTGAAAGATATATTAAAAACAGTAAAAGCTAAATCAGTCAAAAAGAATTTTAACAAAGCAGGGACAAGTTCGTGTCTTGAAAATGTGAAAGAAAAAGAAAACTTGAGAGAAAAGAAAAAAGGTGCATCGGCAAAAGCATCAGCAAAAGCATCAGCAGCAATGTCAGAGGAAGAGAAAGCCACAATATTCGTTTACTGCCATGAGACATATGGAGACACTTGTCACGATGAATGGATTATGTGCATAAAACGTGGTGCCTGGATGCATGAGCAGTGTTCAGATAACGAACCGGGTGCTGATATGTTTGTGACAACTGCCGATGATAATTAGTATAAAGACTCACTTGCTCCAACTGGGTGATTCACTTGCTCCAACTGGGTGATTCACTTGCCCCATAATTTGGGGCAAGTGGGTCATTTGACAATTTTTTTCCTAAGTTTGACCTTTAATTAAAACTTTAAATTTCCTCATTTTTCAAGGTTAGGTTATAACCTAAAGAATTAAAGTTTATTTTTATTTAATACACATTGTTTCATTTCTACAAGTATAAAAGTTATTAATTGTTTAACCTTAAGGTTTCTCACTTGCCCCACCCTCCCCTAACCCACGAATAAAGATGACACTAAATTGTGCTCATTCCATTTTTGATTTTTAATTATTGTATTTTAGTTCTACTTTTATTTTTTCCGTACTTCGTCTCATATCGCAGCTCGCACCAGTATGATGGGAAGAGAATCACCCAATCAGCGACTAAATGTCAGTAAATTGAGTAAAATGTCCCCCAACAAAATACAAAATATTTGTTTAATATATATTCGATATTTATTTCATTGTTTTATAAGTAACTGTAATTAGAAAATTATATATCTATTATAATAACAGAAAAGAAAGTAAATAGTAGGTATTTCAATTTGATGGAAAAATTAGATAAATAGGTATGCCAGTTCTATTTGTTGAAATTAAATTAAGCACCTCTTATTACCTCCCTACAAAACATATTTAGGAGGAACTAAAAAATATGTAGTTAAAGATGAGCTTATTAAAAATGCAGAATTTTGGCAGGTACAAAAATAAATAATGTTTATTTTTCAAAGACATTACAACTAAGAGACTAAATTGTTTACATTTTTATGTGGCAAATAATTATTCCCTATGTCTCTATGTTGTAATGTCTTTGTTATTTTTATATTTTTTTATAGGTATAGTTTTATTATTTTATTTGTAATATTTTTGCTCAAAATTAAACTACAAGATTACCATTAGTTGTTGTTGTATGAATTAAATAAAGGTTCTTTATTCAGGTAAAATGTAACAAAGTTCTGAAGTATACAATATGCAGACAAGTGTTTTGAAATCAAATAAATCAAATGGACAAGGATGAAGGATGAGACATCCTTTAAGTCTTTTGAAAACTAAATGTTTATTTGTAGGTAAGATAATATCTATCTTAATTTTGTATGATCATTTATAGTATACACAAATAATCATAAAAAAGGTAATTTGTAACTTTGTGTCAGCAGAAGGATTTCCTACACCCAATTTAATACGTTTTTAATAAACAAATGAAAGGTCTTTAGTATGATCGGTAGACTATATTGTTAATTCAGCACTACACATGTTTCGGAATAAAATTCCATCATAAGGACATAATAAACTCTTTAAAAATCATGGGCGAAACCCATCTTTTTATTTGTGAGAGTGTGTAGGTACCAGCAGTGGCGTTTAAATAGCTTACAACTACAATAGTTGAATAAATTAAAATAATTAATGTTTACACAAATCTTTTACACATTCACAGAGTTTAATATGTGTAAGTGTAGTTATAATTTTTGCAGTCTATTTTATAAACTACATTTAGTTGATTTGAAAATAACGTTTTCGTTGTATCGTTTCGTTTACGAGCTTTTTTTTACAGTATTTCTAAAGAATATTTTTGACACTTGTTTGGAAAGTCCTTTTACATATAGCAATTTAATGTTTAAAAAAGGGTGCCGAATCAAATGTTACAGTGACAGCACTTTATGCTTTTGACTATTTAAGTACCAAGCTATTTATTTAAAATAATAAAACAATGTATTTTTTTAGGTTAAATAATGAGCTTTGGAGGCCACAAAAACTTGCAAAAATATTAGTAATGAAAATGAAATAAAATATAAAATGTCAGAACAAAACTGTCAACAATAACAATTATGTCAATTCTCAGCCAAAAAGTAATGTGTGAAACTGACTGCAATCTGACCAATTGCTCCTTTTAGTTTAAAAACAGAGTGTAGTCACAAAAAAATTAATGAAGATTTTTATTTATTCCTTTCTTATAGTTTGCAGTATCTAATTTGATCTCACCCTGTATAGTATTTATTAAGGATAAACCATATTTAATTTTTTGGAAATCTGTACTGCATAAAAAAATCTCATCTGCATAATAAAGCTAATATTGAAGATGTGAAAAAAGTAATAAAAATACAGAATTAGATGTTTCATCATGCGTTCCATGGTCTACTTTAGCCTACTGCTATACTTCGATTTCAAAATAATAGACAGTAGGAAAATTTCAGGAATGTCTACAGAGTTGCCATTTCGGTAGTATTATAAAATTTATGCAAAAATATGTTTAAAATACATAATTGTGCTATGCTGAAGGTTATTTCATTATTTGTCTCAGGGGTAAATTAGAATCCTTAAATTTTTAGGTACCTTATTTGAAACTAAGAACATAAAAAACTTAATATTATATACGTAATTTGCTTCACATTGACAACACGGTTGATTGGTTTGTTAGACGTTGCCATGTGTCTGGAATTTGTTTTCTGTCGCATTTTTTGCCATGCAATAAAACGGGCACGTTTGAGTCACAATCCATTCAGAAAATGCAACGTTGGTATCAAGTTAGTTAACTAATAATCATTCTTTTGTTTCAGATAAGAACGAGGCCTAACGGCCTGATAATGACGATGGACATATCGAAGACGGAAGCCTCGAAATCGGCACCGGGTCAGAGTTCCCAAGAATGCGCTGGCTGTCTAAAACCGATAACGGAACGGTTCTTGCTGAAGGCGTTGGACATGTTCTGGCACGAAGACTGTCTGAAATGCGGTTGCTGTGATTGTAGATTGGGCGAAGTCGGGTCGACGTTGTATACCAAAGCGAATCTGATTCTGTGCAAACGAGACTATTTGAGACTGTTCGGTAATACCGGATATTGCGCAGCTTGTTCTAAAGTTATACCGGCATTCGAGATGGTGATGCGCGCTAGGAGTAACGTGTATCATTTAGAGTGTTTCGCGTGTCAACAGTGCAATCATAGGTGAGTTTTTAATAGATTTAATATTATTATTATTATTAGTAAGAACGTTATTCATACCGTTTGGAATTCTTATACCGCTATTATCCCTACTTAAAACACTCACATTATTGCGAAGTGAGCAAGTGAGGAAGGAGAATCAACAAGTCTTAAAAATCTTCAAAATTTAATAAATATTATACAAAAATTACACCAAATACCTAAAAGAAATATCCGTTTTATTTCAAAACACTTTATTTAAGCGGCTTACTGATTTGAGCTCAACAATATGTTTTTTTAACAACTTAAAATGACTTGGCTGGACCGCAGGCCACGTCATTTGAGATATTTACATGTTAAACTGGCAGAGGCAGCTCGTGACCAAAATTTTGGGGGTTTACAGTATCAAAATATAGATCCCGATACAGATATAGGTAAAAAACTGTCAATGTTTTAGAAAGGTATATTATAAACTTTCTAAAACACTAAAAGTTTTTTTCATATATCTGTACTCATACCTATATTCTGTTACTGTGAACCCCCCACGGCCGCCACTGTATCCTGGTCTTGTTAAATAAAAGTAATTTAAGGAAAAAAATTATATTTATTACGAATATAAGATCTGTTAAGAGTAAATTATGCGTAGAATAATTTTTAGTTGACTCAGGATCTTCTTCAGTTACAGTTATAGTTATTGACTCATCAGTAATTTTACCTTTTTGAATCATTGATTTTTTGTGGTAACTATGTTTATGTTTTATTTTAATAATTTAAAGGTGTTCAAAACGAAACCACCTATAAATTCAGAGAGTGTTACATATCCAGGAGAATCATGGAGATACAGCAAATTTTTCCTTGCCTCCTACAGAAGTTGTTTTGTTTTATAAAACTGAATCCACCTCCACCACTACTTTAAATGTAATATGTTTAAGTAGGTAATTTATAACTTGTTTATTGGTTAAAAGATTTATTTTTTTGAAAGTTCTACTCAACTCTGAAAAATAACATAGTAACTATCATTGGGCAGAAAAGCGTGAGAAAGTACTGGATTATTTTCTGGAAAAACTATACGATTTTGGATATTAGGACATCTTGTACATTTACCTTGAAATACTTGAATATTACGAGGAATTTTGTTTATAGTTAAGTTTTGTGAATTGCAACTATTAACATGGGTAAAATAAATCGATAGTAAATTGAGTGTTTCCAAATAAGCTCGTTTAAAAACAAACGTCCATCCACTCTCTGCCCAATTATCCGTAATGAAGTTTCAGAGAAACTCCCCAGTTTCCGAAACAAATGTTCGCAATTAATCAATGGTTAGAAAAACTTAAATGACAAATCGTTCCAAGTTAAACGTTTAGTTTAGTTCGGTAACAACAAGTATATCTATAAAACATGTAACATCTGTGTTGGATTTATCTAAAACACCCCCGTTGAGGTTTTAGTTGTTAGTTGTTGCGACTAAGTCCGGCTGTAATTAGGTACCGAGTGTGTTCGAACGCAGATCGGGTGCTAAACGAATTTCCGGACATATAAATTCATTTAATACGAATATTTCTCAAAAAAATCGTATTTCGATGGCAGTTATATAATACTAGTATATTTGTTCCAATTTTTTTTAATGGGTATATCTCAACTAAGGGACACCACAAGGTACGGTTCTAGGGCCGATCCTCTTTAACTTATAAATTAAAAGTATATTTGTCTTAATAGGACAGGAGATGATGAAACGGTAGTTTTTTAAGAGTCTGATGCCTGGAACGAATTAAAATATATAGCAGAAAGGGATTTTCTATATCTGAATAGATAGTGCGACCACGAAGGTCGCTTTCCCTGTAAATAGTTGGTTGAGCACACTTCGTCATATTGTGCAGAAACCAATTTGAGTTTGTAGGCGTGGTCAGACAGATTTAAACGTGATCGAAGCCACCTGCCGCTTTTTACCGCTCATACAAGTTGAATTCAGTAGTGTAGTATTACTTATTTGTACTTGTTGCATTTATTTAGCTATTTTGGGTGTGGCATAGCTATGACGAAATGTGCTCTTCACAAAAAAATCGAGCTCTAACAAGTATGCTTGACCGCTGAGCGCTTAATGAACTAATCCCGTCGCTAACAAACGAAAAAGTAGAACATTACTAATTAAAGCGATTTAAAAAGTGTCGGGATTTATAATTTGTAATATTTGAAGCAACTTGATGTCACATTTTTCTATTTTACAACTGGAACAAAAAATAAGTTTAATGAATTATTGTTTTAGGTAAAATATTTTTGGCAGCAATATTCTATTAAAATCCGGAATAAAAATAGGGGTGTCCCATTTAAAATTGAGATTTACTTCCGGTATAAGCGGAAATGCCAGAACTGTTAAAATGTATTACCATTGTATTACTATATTTACCAATTTTTAACAAAATCTATCCATTACCTTGTCAGATATAGATAGTGTCTTCCCCTCAATGGATAGCCAGTATAAAGATAAAAAACCCTATTAGTATTGAGACAGATTAGATAGCCGATACCTACCACAAATTAGAAACTTAAAGCTATAAAGGGGTTGCTTTTTAATTAGATTAGCGATATATGATCTCTATGCAGTGACTAAAACTCCAATAATCGGATTCGAGAGTCTGAGACGTATTCGTATTGTGCTACGGAGGGCTGTTTCACTGTTCGCTACTCCTGCACAAATTCCTTTACAGCCCGCTTGTTGCGTTATACAATCTACCCATTTGCACAAGTCGTTTTCGAGAAGAACTGCTATGCATATCTTTGCATGATCAAGTTAGCGGGCGATAACTTTAATCACTGCCGAGGAGATATTTCTCCGGCTGATAAGTTTTAACTTCGCTTGACTGTAACTTTCCTTATTTATTCGAAAACTCTGTATTCCGAACGTTAGTTCCATTGGTTTCTTCTTCAATTGTCGGTGAATATTGCCGTTTGAATTAAATAGATTATTAAGTAGATATATCAAGCACCAAGATATAATAGTAATGTTGCAAGTGTCTGCGTGGTTTGATTTTTTTTTTGTTACAGTTTCATCTGTAAGTAACGGTAAAAATTCAACCAATTAGAAATACTAGTTACAAGCTATAAAAAATAATTAGATATCGGTCCACGTGGTCGTCTTTGACTTACAAACGTTCGACCATATATCCAATAAAATTGCAAGACATTCAACCAAACAATGTTACAATTGGATATTAGGATCAGCGTGAACTACTTAAATAAAACTAGTGCGGTGAAAACCATGAATAGTATACTGGAGCTAATAAAAAATACGAAAATATAAACGGACTTATGAAGTTAAAAATAGTGCTATAAAATAAAATAGGGACAATGAATTTAAAAAGAGGCAAAAAGAGAAGATAAATAAGAAGAAGTGGAAGAAATAAGGCGAATAATATGCAAGAAATAGACGAACAAAATTTAGATGAAACAATTGTAGAAGGAAAAATGAAATGGCAATCAGTGCATAAAAAGAATTGAAAAGAAAGATAAAAGGAAACCATAGAAAATTCGAAAAACATGATAAAGAAGAATATCAAAGAGAAGTCAAAACAAGAAAAAGGAATAAACGAAACCCTGCAGACTTAAAAGAGAAGAGATTATATCTTAAATTTATATAATTATTGAGGCCCTTCCTATGGGAGGGACTTCCTATTGCTCTCTATGGATCTACTTTAACACAAAAATAGTTTTGTGGCTATAAGTTGCTATAACCTATCGTCGCAAAACTATTAATAATTTAAAAATAGTAAGTAGTATTAATATAACATCAAGTAATTTTTTAAAATAAAGTACATGATCTCAAAACAGAAATAATTTATAATAAATGCGGGTAAATCGAGGGGTAAAATAACAATGCATTAAGGGAAATACTTTAAAAGGGCAGGTTTAAATAGTATTATCACAAGAAAGTACGAGGTATGTAAATTAAGTAATGAGACTGATTTTTTTTAAATTTTTATACAAAAAGAATTACAATTCAATATCGTCACCTTCAAAATAACTTCCTTCTGTGGCCACACAGCGCTGGAGACGTTTCTTCCACTCCTCATAGCAGTGCTGGTACTTCGATACTGAAATAACCTTCAGCTGGTCGGTTATAGCCGTTTGAATTTTTTCGACTGTCCCAAAATTATTTCCCTTGAGGTGACTTTTCAACTTTGGGAAGAGAAAAAAGTCACAAGGACTTAAGTCAGGCGAATAAAGAGGCTGAGGAGCCACAGGAATGTTTTACTGGCCAAAAACTCGTTTATTGAAATTGCTGTGTGACAAGGAGCATTATCGTTATGCAACACCCACTTGTTATTGATGTTTGGTCTCACACGAATGACCCTTTTTCGAAGTCTTTCAAGAACCTCTCGGTAAAAGTGTTGATTGACCGTTTGACCTTGGGGTACAAACTCTTTGTAGACGATTCCGTGGATATCGAAAAAACAAATCAGCATGCATTTGATCTTTGACTTCGCCATCCTTGCCTTTTTTGGCCTTGGAGAGGTTGAAGTGTGCCACTCCATGCTCTGGCGCTTGGTTTCTGGGTCGTACTCAAACACCCATTTTCAATTGAATTCAAAAAGTCAAGGCACCTTTCCTCCCTGATGTTCTTCAGGTCTTGCGAAAGGTTTTTTGGAACCATTTTTGCGCAGATTTTTCTCATCCCCAATTCATTGGTCAAAATTTGATGAACTGTGGTGTGAGTCAAATTTAACTCTTTCCCTATCATTCTGACTGTCCACCGACGATTTGAACGCACAAGATCCCGGATTCTGTCGACATTTTCATCGGTTCTTGAAGATGAAGGCCTTCCGCTTCGTGGATCTTCTTCAATCTACTCTCTTCCTTCTGAAAATGCCTTAAACCACCGAAAAACCTGGGCCCTTGACAAAACACTATCTCCGTAGGCCTGCTGAAGTTTCAGAAGAGTTTCCGTTGCACTGTGCCCAAGTCTGAAGCAAAACCTGATAGCACACCGTTGCTCGAAATTGATGTCATTCATTTTTAGAACACAACAG